GGCATAAATTTTTGTTGAAGTGAACTTTCTTTCAGGGTTTTCATGGTATACCAGGCTAATTATTGGCTGTAATCAGAATAGTAGTTTAGAGTAAGTTAAGCAGAACATATACTTTCAAAACAGTCCAGACTGCTTGGGTGGAGACTTTTTTTTTTTTTTTTTTTAACCGAGAAAACATGATAAAAAAGACTTTTGAAGAATGGGAATAAGAAGACTTATAAGGTTGTTCTGGAGTCACTAAAAACCTCTAAAGCCATTAATGCAGAGTAGAGGCTTGGCTTCCCTTCATGAAGAACCCTGAAACGTTCCATACTGGCTAATGAAGTCTTGAACCAGCTATCCCAACCCAGCAGTCCATGGTCCTGCTTCCCAGCTTGTGTCTTCTTTAGCTTCATGTCCTTCAGGGATGAGCATATCTAGGGCTTTCTCCTAGTGGATTTCTGTTTTCTATGCACCACTTAGGCAAGCTGGCTCTGGTGTTGTAAGATCCAGCATTTAAGTGGCATGTTTTCACAAAGTTTACTCCAGCAACATTATATAGACAGCATTACATATGGGGCATGTTTCAGGGACATACAGTAATGATCAAGGATTTAAGTTTAATAAACAAAAGGTAAATAGAAAATACCACACACATGGTGAACATAAGCAACATAGCTAAAACTGCATAATATGTGACACCTGTTATTTTCTGAATTTTGCAATGTTTTGCACTATTTAATGAGAGTGTGGTTGGTTTTTGGCTGACTTTTCTACCATGTTGTGATGAGTTCTTAACAGTGGAAGTTATAGCAGGAAACAAAAGGGAACAAATAAAGCAAATACAGAAGTTATTGTTTCCTGAATATTAGGAGCTCAACAAGTAGATGATCTAATTTCTTTACCAGCCTCCAGTACTCATCCAGCCAGCTGTTCAAAATTATAAAATACACATAGTAACCTACTATCTGAGAGAACAAGGATGTAGCAAAATGAATTGTAAGTATCTCTGCTTGACATGTAATCAGGTTTTTATCCTTGTGCATGCTGGTAGTTTTCCACTGCATTTGGACACATAATCTGGAGGCTTTCTTGGTTGCTTGGACTGTATTTTTGCGTGTGGTGGCTGTGGGGAGTTCAAGGACAAAATATGCACTTCGATTTATGATCTGGAGACAATAAAAGTACCTGTGGGTTCTTTCTGATTTCATCTAAAAGGCTGGGAAAGTTTTGAACCCTTATGTTGTGATCTAGCTTTACAATATGTTTAGCTGTGCAGTGGTTTCTTTACTGAAGGGAGAGGTAAGCAACCTATGAGTCTTTTCCATAGTATAGTTATAGTACATAGCATTAAAATGGGAATTCGTGTATTGAGCCAAACCCAATTATTTGCAAACGAATCGGTGCCAGTTATCCTCAGGGGGAGGACTCTAATACCAAGTGCTGGTTTGAAATGTCATCTTTTCTGTGGGAGAATTCTCTATAGGTAACATGGTAACTATTTTCAACCTAATTTTAGGCAAACAGAAATTGGAATTCATTAAACTTTGCAAAGAAAATTCAACCTTTGATCAAAGCCACAACAGATATCAGCTTGCTCCATTTTGAAAGTCATGCCAATCTGAAAAGCAAGCTTTTCACTAATGTTTGGCATCTTAACTAGAGCTTGGCATTCTTAGGAAGGGCTTTAATTATGCATTATATTAACCACTGTGAAATACTAAACCTTATTAAGATAGCAAAAAGCCTTCTTTATATTTGATTTGTTAGAGCTTAAAATTAACTTTTCACAGTCCAACTTAAAGAGATCAGTAGATAATGGAAATTCAGCTCTGTCTACAGTAAGTTTCCCCACAGTTCTCTTCGGTGCTCTCTCCAGTCCCTTGCAGTGCATCTACCTCTGTAAAGATCCCAGATGCCCAGACTGGGCTATCAGCCTGATACCTCCATTATAAATGCCACTTCCAAGCTTGTGGTCACTTGGAATCGTCTCCTGAAAAAATGGAAGTTTAAAAAAACCATGTTTACATTGGGCTCACCTGGATGCTCAGATGTGGCTGATGGGCTGCACCAGGCTGCCTGACAGTGGAGACATTCCACTCTGGTGTGTTTGCAGCTGAACATTTTTTCTCCTGACACAGTACTTAGTATGTGGTTGGGATGCCAGGATCTTGGGCTGAAGTTCTAGACAAAGTCAATTGGCTGGAGGTCCAGCCCTTGGAGGCAAGTGCTGTGCTGAAGACTTACCTCTTGAATAGCTACACAAACGCTTTGAAGTTGAGCCTTCCAATATTTTTTCAATAGTATTTTTCTCCTCTTCAAAATAAATGCTACTTTCTACTTCATGTGAGTTTTCAAAGCATTTTCTGAAGATGGAAGAGCATCATCTTTCTTTGCCTCAGTAGAGCAGCTTTCAGCTTATCAGGAGCCTGAATAAAAGGCAATTTTCTGTAGGGTGTTTATGGATCTCTCCAAAGAGGAATGATGTGCACATTTTCCACTAGTTGTTGTACTGAGATGATTCAGATTAACTTTAGGTACATGGAAATAACACAATAGCATTATCATGACTTACTGTGTGATCACCACTGGTTCCGGTGGAGTTACCATTGACATATTATCTTGCTGTTGTTGTGTAATCGCATCAATTATTTCACTGGTAACTGTGTAAATTACCACAACTGTAACTTTGTAAAGATCTGAAAGACTAATTTTTCACACCGCAGCACCTAGAAAAGTGGATGCTGAACAGTCACCAGCAATACTGTCCTGATTAGTACAAAAGATGCACAGCAGTACTCTCAGCTTTGCTGCTCCATACCCTGCACAAGTGGTAAAGGGGAAGGCAAGTGGTCCTAAGGTCTTCTGCCTCTAAGTTCCTGCAGGTGTAAAGGTATTATCTGCTTGAAGTGCTAATGATGTTAAGTCGAGACACCTTCTGTAGGAATGTGTTGCTTTTCAGCTCTTTTTGATATTCCCACTAAAATGAGCAAAGCCATAAAAGTCCTCAGTAGACATGTGGAGTCTGCTGGACTTGGTTCTTACTGATTTCCCCACCAGTGTGGGATCTGGACAGGCAAGGTCTAATGAGACTGCAGCCACAGTCTTTTTTTTCAGTCAGAGCAAAACCTGTATATCCTTTCATTTGTCAATATTTAATGCCAGATGGCAGAAGGCAGGAATGAGAGGCATACACAGAGGTATTAACATGTCCCTGAATATCTTCATGGGCTTCAGTTCTTGATATGATGGCAACATTGGACAGGATGTGCTGGCCCATTTCCTTGCAATAGCATGCAAATATGAAGTAGGTGTCTGTAGCCAGGAGGCCTAGAGATTATCCATACCATGTACTTGAACACTCCCTTTCCTAATGAGACATGAGCAATCTTGAGTCCTATTTCAAACAAACCAAAATACAATAACGCCTTCAAGTATATTATATTGCAGAAAAAGAGTAGGAGCCAACTATGAACACCACTGTTGCCCCAGGTCACTCAGATATCTCTAGGAAGTTTGCAATATCCCGCACTATATGAGAAAAAATTAAATAAGACACTCCAGATGTATAGACAGCTGAGTTGTCCACCAGTCAGTGCGATTATATTCCTCAACCAGCTGGGATGACAGTGGCAGATGGTAATTTCATCCTATACTTCATCTCCTAACTAATTACAGAGAAGTAGGAGAACAGAAGACAAAGATGCAAGCCTGATGTGCCCTTGTGTCCCAATAGTCAGCGCATCCTTTGAATAAGATTTATTGTTAGGATGTGCTTTTTAAAGTCTTTAGAACTTCCACCATTTTCCTTGTTCCTGTACCTAATCAGGTATTTTGCTTGTCTTTTGTGATGAATATTGTTTGTTCGCATCTTGATTTTAAATCTGTGGATTTAAATGATGCTTGGGTGGGAAGGGCATCCAGTGATGATTTGGGCATCTCCCTCAATGGCACAGAGAAACCTTTTGGCTTTAAAACCTGTCATCAAGATTGCCTGCTCAGGAAGAATCACATTTCTGCACCTGTGCTGTGCCCAGCAGCTCTTTGCCTTCTTAAAGAGAGGCCACCTGCATTCATCTTTGGGGTCCCCAACATTAGAAGGATGCAGACCTGCTTGAGTGGGTCCAGAGGAGGCCACGAAGATGATCGGGGGCTGGAGCACCTCCCCTGTGAGGACAGGCTGAGAAAGTTGGGGTTGTTCAGCTGGAGAAGAGAAGGCTCTGGGGAGACCTTAGAGCAGCCTCCCAGTGCTTAAAGGGGGCCTAGAAGAAAGCCGGAGTGGGACTTTTTACAAGGGCATGTAGTGATAGGACAAGGAGTAATAGCTTTGAACTGGAAGAGGAGAGATGTAGATTTAGATTAGATGTAAGGAAGAAATCCTTCCCTGTGAGGGTGGTGAGGCCCTGGCACAGGTTGCCCAGAGAAGCTGTGGCTGCCCCCTCCCTGGCAGGGTTCAAGGCCAGGTTGGACGGGGCTTGGAGCAACCTGGGCTGGTGGAAGGTGTCCCTGCCCATGGCAGGGGGGTGGAACTAGGTCTTTAAGGTGCCTTCCTAAACCATTCTGTGATCCTATGGTTGTAGGATTAGTGGTTCTTTGACTTTTTAGGCTCTGTTGGTACTAAGATACTCATCAGCCTGGGCAGTGGTGCCACAGCCTTGCCTACCAGTGTGGTATGAAGGGACACCCCTGCTTCTTATTTTAGAAGTAGCTCAGAATGTCCGTGTCATTCATTAGGGTGACTAATGTATTCTGTCAGCTCCTGAATGGATTGGAAATGCCATACCTCACAGAATTTGCAAGATAGTTGGGATTTTTTTTTCTCATTTTTTAATTACACTTTTACGCTTGACTTGTCCAGAGTAAGTTGTGTGTTGTGCGCAAGGTTTATGGAAAGTAGCACTGAATTAGTACGGGACAGGGGGAACAGCAAAGAGACAGCTCCCTCCTGTTTAAATTAAAACTAAGCCACATCAGAATGTTGCCAATTAAAAATAAAATTAATTACTTTGCTCTCTCTGTAGGTGACCTGTCTCCATGATTTCTTTGGAGACGATGATGTGTTTATCGCCTGTGGTCCAGAAAAATTCCGCTACGCACAGGATGACTTTTCTCTGGATGAAAGCGGTAACATCAAACACACACTGCTCTGCAGTCTGTGTTTTTATTTGGTTTCCATTGCTTGTATCAGATAATAATGCTGCATGGTTTTGTTCTGGTTTTTAAGACCTTGTACATGGAATTTAACATCCTTTTGTGATACTTGTACAGTCAGGGGATATTATAATTGGGCAAATCCTGACTGAGGTAGCCCAAGTCAGAATAGAGGGGACACCTACACCACTTGACATTTACTGCAAAATCTGGTAGTTTATATCCTTTCAATTTTGCCCAGCTGCAGTCAGATGGATACATTTTTCTTGAAAACTAAACAGTAGAAGGACTCTTGGTCTTATGTACACATGTGAATATTAAAAAATGTGAACAAACACAATTAAAAGAAAAAAATCACTTCTTCCACTGCTTTCTGCTACTGATTCAAAAAGCTGGGCAATAATTCCCTTTTTAGGAGGGGGAGTAGGACAGCACTATTTTATTTGTCCCCGTTTCAAGTGCAAGAACAGATCTGTAATAATGTGAGTCTCTATGATTAATTAAGCCATTAAATCTTGATTTCACAGAATATACGGAGCTTGCTTGTCAGAGTTACCATCTACTCCACCTGGCAACCATATACACCAACAGCATAGGCTGTCTGCTGGTGCCAGTGAGTGCAGCAAGAGTAAATTAATGTAACTTTGACCATTTAAACTAGAAGAAATTGTGGTCCCCAAACATTCAGGCTCTTTTTCCAAAGGTTTAGGTAACCTGTATGAGGAACAAGAGCCCCATGCTGTCTTATATGCTTAGCGTTGGCTCATTGGCTTATATGGCTCAGCATTGAAGACTAAAGAGGACTTTGCTGTATACCAGGAAATCAAGCAGCCTCTAATCTTCAAACGTGTTTTTATGACTCCTTTGCAAGCCTGATTTTATTTGATGCTGGTACTTCTGACCTGTGTACTCCAGATGAACCCATTTGATGGTCTTGGGTAATTCAAATAAAGTTTCCAAGATTCAGCTGAAACTTTGCAGACAGAAAATAAAACCCATGTCAGGCTGGGGAAGCAATCTGTAACCTGAGCTTTGTATTTTTTTTTTTTAACACTCAGCAGTTGAGTCAGCTCCACAGGGAGTTCCACACTGTAAAACAGTTTGGATGCAATCCTAGCAGAACAATTTGATGGGAAGCCCAGCTCTCTGCCTACACTCCTGGTTACTACTGATTTTTCCAGCTTGGATTTCTCTAACAAAAATAAGCCAAGCCTGCTGTTGGGAAGGCACCAAGTAACTGCAGCTCTCAGTGTTATTTTCATGGGAGTAGGAGTGCCCTGCAACTCTCAAGAAGCCAATGAGGAGCTATTAGCCAGCAGTATTTTCCCATTATACACCCATCATTCTTCCTTCTTGAGTCAGATGCTGCAAGGAGAACCTACAGGTCCTGAGGTCTTGCAGATGAATGTCACTTACTAAAATCTCCTCTGTCATCCAGTACTTTTTCTTGCCTGTTTGGATGACATGCACTTGGATTGCTGGTTCTTACGTTCACTCTGGCAGGACATCAGGAAACAAAATGAGAGACAGCATAAGAAAGGATTATGTCATCTTTTTCCTTGTGACTGCCCATCACAGCTTCTACCCTATAATCCCCATTGCTGAGCACCTTCCAGGTGACATTACTCTGTCTCATTCGTACTCACTGGTTTCAGCATCAGCCCATGGAAATGTCATGGCCCCTGTGGTGTTTAGAGGGCTGTTTACACTAACTTCAGCACAGTCAGGTTTCCACCTTTAGAACCTTGTTTCAAGATGTGCAAATGCTCAGTGATTGCCTTTAGTGTACTGACACTTGCCAACGGCTGAACTGAAGGAATTCCTCAGAGTCAGTCTTTCTGTGCTGGAAAATGCAAAGCTGAGTTTCTTTTCAAGGAATTACTCTCCTGGGAAGAAAATAAATGTGAAAGCTCTTGAAAAGACAAAACAAAGTATTTTTTCTTTTTGGGTTTATTTTTTAGGGAGTAATTCAGGTGACTAAATGTAGATGTCTGACACCCTTTGAGGTTTTTGAAATACTCCATGATATATGATTGACAGATATCACACAGGACCACCAGGAGACCCACTCTGCTCTGGGGAGGCTGTACTCAAGCATTTGGGGCCTATTGTTGGGCAAAGGAATCATTGTCTAAGATCGAAATGTTGCATTGCCTTTGTTAAGTAGTGCTATGTAAGAGCCTTGAAAAATATTATTTCTGCAGTAACTGAAGATTATTTTACCCCACATTTTGGCTTGGCTGGTTAACACCAGGAGAAGTTATTTGCACACTCTCCGTAGTGGCTATTTCAAAGTGTCTCAGCAAACACTATATTCTTTAGTATCAAGGAGGGACAGTCTACCTTCCACACCTCCCCC